CAAGTGGAGTCCAGGCTTCTCCAGCCTTTCAACCTGTCCCAGCAGTTCACCAGCCAGGCAAGGGGGCTTGTCTTCTCCACGTGGGACATCCAGTCTGTGACTCGCCCTGCTCACTTCCCAGGGCAGGTGTCCACACGTCCAATTTCCCTTTCCCTCTGAGTCCCCTCCGAGGGGCACAGGTCCCCACTTGATACTTTCCTTCCCATCCTACCTGATTATGTGTGTATCTCTCCTACAGCCTTGTTTGTACCAGAGTCCTTCTGCTGGTTTCCAGTTAGTTTTCAGTGACTATTGTTCCACATCTAGATGCATTTTTCATGTACTCACTGGGGGAAATGAGCTCCAAATTCCTTTGCTACACGATCTTGATCTCTCTCAAGCCTGATTATTCTATTTTTTCACTGTTCAAGAGCTTTGAGAATTGTAATTTGCAGTCTTTTAGCACCTGAAGAGATTATAATATTCTTTTCCACCTTTCTGTCAGTCTAACTGCTACTCCCTCCAAGATAATAGTCCATCCCCACTTTTTCCTCGCCCCCCTCAGCTGCTTTTATTATTTGTCCTTTGTCTGCCTGTCTTTGTCTGTTTCCCAGTTTCATCCAAATGAACCTATATGTAGATTCGTTTCTTTTAAATCTATTCTGCTAGGAATCTGCTGGGCATCTTTTATCTTTGGACTGGTATTATGTGTCAGTTCCAGAAAAATCTAAGCTGAACCTCTCGAACATTGCCTCTATCCAATTCCTTCTCTGGGACTGTAATCAAATAGATGCTTCTAGTGGTTTTCTCTTGAGGGCAGAGTCACAATTATTTCTACTTGACTGTCAGCCGAGGGAGGCTGATGTGGGGTTTTAGGAGGTGAGAGGCCCAAACGAACAAATGCACGAGGAGGTGCCATACTGCTGGGCAGACTTCAGCCGGAGACACCATAGGGTTAACAACACTTTATTGCCACAGGGAGGTGTGCCTATGATGCACCTGTCCTGCTTTTTTCTGTTTTCTGTCAGCACATGCGCAGTCTGAGTTTCTTTGTTCTAAATCTTATGTAATCGACGCATGCGTGGAAATTATTTACTGCATACTACAAACATGCTCTGATCATGGCCTTGGGTCCCACGGCCTTAGCTCATCTCAATGCTCCGATCATGGCCTTGGGTCCCACGGCCTTAACTCATCTCAACACCAGCTCACATTCCACCCCCAAGGTCATGGGAATCTTAGCCCACAGGGCGAAACATTGTGCCCAAAGACCACAACAATAATACAGAGTACAGCATCCTACCAATACACAGACAGCAACAATAGCCAGGACAGTTAGGCTGCATCTCCAGGAGGACGTCAAGGATGACCACCAATTCTTAAGGGGGTTTTGAGTTATGTGATCCAATTCCTGATCTATTTTATGCAGTGCCTTAGCTACTTCCTTCTGGGGATCTGGTATATAGATACAACATTTAATATGTAACATAGCACATGTGCCACCCTGGCTTGCAGTGAGAATATCTAATGCCATTCTATTTTGTAAGACTACCTTTTGCATCTGGGTAGTCTCGTCTAACAACTTCTCTATAGCTCTTTTAGTAACATTTAGTACAGCTGATATGTGCTGAGCTAAAGCTTTTACCTCCAATTCAACACTGATGGTCCCAGCACTAGGCAGGAACAGGGCCATAGGATAAAACCACCAAGCTGCATGCTTCCCCCGCTGCCACTGGGTGTGCAGTGGGTCCCAATTTGTGGGGCACTCTGTTAAAGTGGGCCGGGTATGTCCGGGCAAGTAAGCTGTACCCCAAGCATAGCACCCTGTCCATTTAGCTGGGAGATAAGACCATCCGTGGGTGTCACATACCCACAGATACCCTGGTGGCAGGAAATCAGTGGGTTTTGTGCCAATTAGAGGTCGTCCATCACACCAGGAGGAGGCATTTACATTATAAGTAATTCTGGCACACAGCTCTTCTGGGAGCCACCCCACTGTGCGATTTGGAGCCTCGTGTTCAAACCGCTGCTCAATACAGAGGGGGCTTAAATTTTTCACTTTTATATGAACACTATTCATTTATCCCCACCCATTCCATACAGTTCTTTTAATTGGGGGGGGGGGCATTGCCCCGCTCACATTGGAGTATTTCTTCAATAGTCTGCCGCCGCAAGTCCCAGGGCGATCTCTCTGTTCTGTTGGCATTCCATCGAAACAAGGTGCTCCAATTAGCTCTGGACGTGGGGTGGAGGTGCCACGGCAGTCCATCTCCTGCGTCTACAGGAACTTCAGTACAGACCCAACAGTGAGAGACGTTGTGGACTCACGCAAATGTGTGTGCCCAGGAGAACATGGTATTTGCTGTTACCCTGGACGGAAGGACAGAGCAGAGGTGGACACCATGATTGGCAAATCTCTCCCTTCTGGGAGGATGCAAGCCACTTTCTCATCCTGTGAGAGTACTGTGGCAGGAAGGGCTGTTCGCCCTGGGCAGTGGTACCATACCAACCCTCCCACACTAGGTTGGTTACACTCTGAGAGAGCTTCAGGAGCTATCAGTGGAATTGCCCAAAGCCATAGGGCTTCTGCTCCTTTAAGTAGGGACACTCCTGTTTTCTCTAGAGTAACCTGCACATCAAAAGGCCATTCCCCCACTCATGGGGTTACCTGCAGGGCTTTCTCTAGCCCATCGCCCCATGGTTCCAAAAGGACTAGCCAGGGGCCTTCAGTCTGGACCTAATTCTTCCATGTCCAGGTGTCCTGTTTTCCTGAGTTCAACACCCTGGGGGTGCATAATATTAATGCATGCCCCATTATTGAGACATCGGAGGCATCCTGCATAGGCCTAATTTTGAGCCTCCGAATAGTCCCTTGCAATAACTTTTTCAGTGGGCTCATACCTATACGGCGAGTTTGTTCATTTAAAAGACGTACCGCCTGCAGCAAGACACTGTTCCAGCCTCACCCTTGTGGTTTGAGAGCCCTCAGTTTGTCCTTTAATAGGCCATTGTACCGTTCAATCATTTTTGTTGCTTGAGGATGGTAAGGCACATGTAATATCCAGTTAATATCATTGTTTTGGCCCATTTCTGGGTCTCTTGGGCAGTGAAAGGGGTCCCTCTATTACTTTGTATTTCTAAGGGAGTCCCATAGAAGGCCTGTAAAACTTCCAGTGCTCTAATAGTAGAGTCTTGTGTAGCTCGGGGCACATGGTGAGCAAAACCTAGGCCAGTAGCAGTGTCTACCGCTGTCAGCCGGTACCGCAAGCCCGTACTCGAAGCAAAGGGACCCATGTAATCTATTTGCCATACCTGCAGTGGCTGAATTCCCCGTGCAATCTTCCCCATCTGTTGGGGCCATCGCCGCCGGTGCGGGTGGTGCTTAGCACACCATAGACACTGCCGCACGGCATCTTTGGCTTCACTGTGGCTCAGATGCAGGCCCCACCGGTC